AAAATCCTAGGAATAGAACTGCATCACACTACCCTTGTACCAGATTTCGTTCTAGTTCTCACCGTAGATTAGAAATTATAATTACTTGTAGGAATTAAGAATTAAGTTTATAAAAATGACAGAATTCCAAAAATTTCGAAAAGGAAAAGAAACATACCCGGAGGTGGGTTGATAAGGAAGGAAAAGGAGGAGTGGGGGGGGGGGGATAAAAATAGATTTGTCATCTTGACAGGTTTATATTCTTATCATTTTCTAACTTTTTGTGGTTGTGTTTCCGTCTGGAGTTAACCCTTGAACTTCCTGTATCTCTAGGTATACCTGGAGCAGTGGAGCTTGTGTAGGTCAGGATACGGGATAATTAAACCCTTTTACAGGAAATTCAACTGGATAATTATCAAGGTTGGGAATGACTGGTTCAAATTCTCTATCTATAGAACTATATTTCTATTCTAATATTTCAATTGCACTTCCAAATATTTTTTTGTTCTGTTTTACCCTGTTTCACTTTTTATCCAAACAAAATATTATTTTCACAATTGTCTGAGGAAAGGATAAATAATTGGTCAAAATTTCATTTTCTCATATTTACATAACAATAGTTAGTAAGCAAGTTGAAAAAATGCATAAACAAAAGCATTGAACCTAATTCGTGTGCTCTAATTAAAATTCAAATTGTGACTAATGTTTGGCAATGTTTCTCGTAAACTGATGATGTAAACTTGCCATATCTATTTACAAATACTCTTCATTTGGACTCATTAGTTCAAGTTTTGAATAATAAAGGTCATTTCTAAACATTTCAGCAGCATCCCTCCCTCCCTTTCTACCCTGAATCCTCCCTATAACGGTGTATAAACCAGATTAGAATAGTTAACCCCCCCCTTACTCCCTGTATACAGTGTACCCACTAGGATAAAAGGAGTAAACCACGATTTACTTTCTGTATACAGTGCACCCACTAGGATAAAAGGAGTGAACCACCATTTACTGCCTGAATACAGTGTACCCACTAGGATAAAAGGAGTAAACCCCCCTGTACTCCCTGTATACAGTGTATCTACTAGGATAAAAGGAGTGAACGCCCTGTACTCCCTGAATATATTGTACTTACTAGGATAGAAGGAGTAAACCACCTTTACTCCCGGTATACGTGTACCCATTAGGATTGAAGAAGTAAACCACCCTTTCTCCTCATTTTACATTGTATAAGGTGTACCCGCTAATCATTGATGATACCTGGGTTCAGCTCAGGGTTAATTAACTACTGAACCTTGTTAATCAAGAACCGGAAGGCAGGGGAGGGAGAAAAGGTTTCCCACATTCTTGTCTCCGTCCTAGGACCTGATCAATCTTATCTGAACCTCCTGGGGAGTGGACAGTACACACCTTCCTTATATCTTGATTTCAGTTGAAAATAGTGATATTCCTCCTTGTGTAATCAGCCCCAGGGATATAGAATTAAATAAACAAGCTTGTGTTCAGCTATTTATCATAGAACGTGTCTTCACTAATCTGTATCCTACGCAACACAGGCGTATTGATATACCCGGATCTGAGAAACCCACGCCAACACTGAGTTTCCATATGTACATACTTAGGTGTGAGAAATCACGGCCGATCAACCTTTTTCAAGCATAATACAGGGTTGGGGGATAATTTATTGAAGAATGGTTGGCAGAGCTGATTATTCTAATCCTGGTTTATTAGCCAGGAATACTGAACCCTGCAATCTTAGATTCTATAATCACATTGAGAGAAAACCTAGCATGTGCACAGATCCTTCTAAAGAACCTTCAAGATACAAAAATAGAACCTTAACATCAAAGATCTTAGAAAACCTTCGAATTAGCACCTACAGATAGCTACATGAGAACATATAAGAAGTTGAGCTCCTCGAAAAAGTTTCAAGGAAGCATCAAGAAAACCATTTGACTAGCATATACAGATATTTCAAGCCAGGACTTAGAGAACCATCAAACTAGCTCATAAAGAACCTTCAAACTAGCTCCTTTTTAACAATCAGAACAGCTTCTAGAGAACTTTTAGAATAGCTTCTAGCAAACCTTCAAACTAGCTCTGAGATCCTTCAAAAACAGATAATTCTAAAAAACCTTTAATAGGGCTCCTAGAGACCCTTCAAGCTAACTCCCTAGAGATAATTCAATATAGCTCCTAGAGAACAGAGAGCTCCTAGTGAACAGATAGCTCCTAGTAAACAGATAGCTCCTAGTAAGCAGATAGCTCCATAGTGCACATGTTTATCTTAGAGATCAGATAGCTCCCAGAGAACAGATAGCTCCTATTTAACAGATCTCCTAGTGAACAGAGAGCTCCTAGAGAACAGATAGCTCCTAGAGAACAGATAGCTCCTAGCGAACAAATGGCTCCTAGAGAACTGATAGATCCTAGAGAGATCAGATAGCTCCTAGAGAACAGATGGCTTCTAGAGAACAGATTGCTCCTAGGGAACAGATATCTTCTAGATAACAGATTGCTCCTAGTTAACAGATAGCTCCTAGATAAACTTTAAAATAGATCCTCGAGAACCTCTGAAATAGCTCCCAGAGATCCTTCAAGCTAACTCCTAAAGAACCTTTAAGATAGCTCCTTTAATACCGCTTCTAAAGAACCTTTAAAATAGCTCCTAGGGAACTTTTGAAATAGCTCTTAGAGATAGTTCAAATAACTCTTAGAGATCCTTCAAATGTTTAGCTAAGAACTATCTATCCAGGTCTAGTTAAGGACCTTCAAGCTAGCTCCTATAAAACCTTTTGGTTCGTCTAAATCTCCATAGTCATATTCCCCTGATTTAGTCAAGACAAGTTCTCCGAGTACAGTTTAAAGTACAGAGAAGATGATGATTACTAGATATTGTTTACTTTACTCACTATGTGTTTTTGCACGTAATCTCCACACTTTATTACGTTAATTCCATTAAATCTGTAAATTATTGGAATGATGAGAAAATTACAAAATTACAACAATATTACAATGTATCATCTCACGGAAGTATTTTATTCTTTATATTATGATCCAGTTCTTTGCGATTGTTAAATCACACTTTTAATTTAAAATTGATTATTCATAACCAATCAAAAAAAGTTTTTGCGCATGTTAAATCATCAAGGAAAATTGAAAGGATAAATGTACATTTTACTTTACATTTACAATACATTCATGCGTTTAGAACAGAGTCTAAGAAATTATTGTTCAATTTAACCAAGTTTCATAATTTTCTATATAATAAAACAAGAAATTCATATATATGTTGCGTAAAGCCGGCCAAACGGCTGGACCGATTGCGTATAGCCAGCCGGACCCATTGGGCTGCATTTTTTTCCACGGGCAATGCCGGGCCTTTCAGCTAGTAAGTAAATAAAGAAATTAAATGAACAATGTTTCTCATAATTTGTCAACATTAATAAACATGACAATTGTGAAATAAACACTCACTAATTACTTTAATTTATAAAGATTTAGTAATCTAACCACAAGAATACTAAATACAGCTTAATTGTTTATGGTCATTTTAGAAACATTTACAGTACGGAATTATAGATAGAAAATATATACAAATAAATAATAAAACAGGCAGAATTTATTGATCATCAATCCTAAGTTCCATAAAAAAAACTGTATCCAGAGTTCCTAAATAAATATGGAGTTCCTTAACAAATATTATTCATGATAAGTTCGTTGGCATAGAGTAAAACAGTCATGAGTTTTAAGATTATGAATTCTAGATCGTAATTAAACTTAATCATGATCATTAATTTGATAATTCATTGATCATAAGTTCCTCGATAAAGAATTCTTAGAGTTCCTTACTGAAGAGTTTTCTAATTACGAGTTCTTTGATTATGAGTTCCATGAATCATGATTTGGAATTCTTTAATCATTAGTTCTTTAATCATGAGCATCATGAGCTTCTTGACAATGATTTTTTATATATTAGCTTAGTTTTAGATCATGAGTTTCTCGATTGAGTTCCATGCTCATTAATGATCATAGATTTCACAATTGAAAGTTCCTTGATCAGCTGTTTCCTTGTCTATAGCTACACAGGGCCTAGATTTGATGAATTAGAGTAAAATATTCTAATATCCTCGGCTTGCTTTGCATAACATGCATTATCAAGATTTTTATCAGCGTATGCTCAGCTCACCTGCAGATTTTCCAACAATTTAGAATATTTTGCAAGTTTAACACTTTTTTCTAGATCAAACCTTCTCACACTTTCTCTTCATTACACATCAATTTTCCGTCATTTTCAGATTTTCGAAGATTTCATACATTAGTATTTGGAGAAAAATAAACAAATGTCATTTTTACAATATTCAGCTGGCCATGTACTGTTATTTCGTTTAAAATGTTTGTTTACCAATTTAGCTTGTTCTCAATCTTTGTTCTTTAAGAATACATGCATATTTACACGTTTATGTGAGTTCATTTAGCTTAAAGGGCCGGGGTAACTCAAGTACTGGAATATTTAGCTTTAATAATATTGCTTTTAAAAAACATTGATATATTTTGATTTTAAAGGGACTGTTTAGACGTAAATTCAAGTGAACTTCCATTTAATGAGTGGAATATCCGATAAACAACGGTTCCCTTTAAAGCCTTTATTTCCATAAACAACAAGATATCGTCCTATTGAAGATTTGAAAAGTGTTTATCTATATTCAGAAATATCAAGGATGCATGCAAATGATATTTTATGTTTGTAAAATCGAATTTTTAAATTTTAATTTTTTTTAGAGAGAAGCATAATCAATATCAAAATTTTATGATGGATGTGTCTTCTCCTTTTATTCTGTCAATGCGGTTTAATTAACTGTATATTGATATTAATACATATGCAGACAATGAAGATAAAAATAATTGGTAATTAACTATACCTATTAATTTGTAGTATAACATCTTTGCTCTAAAACACACATGTGTTCCCCTAGGTTGTGTATAAAAGAGATGCCCCGCACTATTCACAATCAGAAGTTAGCAGAATGGCGACCATGGTCGTCTTTGCTTTGGCTGGACCGATTCTTCTCAAATACATCGTCATTATCTCTAATTTAGACAGTGCTATGGGGGGAGTTCTGGATTCATCCACCATTAAGGCAGTTCCACTTCAGGTATGTGAACGTACGATTGAATTTCCTTCACGTTTAAAAATCGCATCTTAAATTATATAAAAGAATTAACTAACTTTTTTTGCAGGATGATTTTACAACAGAGCCTATAGGAAAGTTCTAATTCCAAATTCAAGCATTTTCGACTGAAATTACTTTTAATTGTCTTAAAGGGACTGTACGCGGAATGTCAAGTGACCTTCCATTTAAAGAGGGAAATTCCCGATTCACAACGGTGCCCTCTAAACCTTAGACTTACCATCTAGGATACAGAACTCAGTGTCTATAACTCTTAAATGTTGTGTAAAAAGCTGTAAAAGTGATACTATGTGAACTTAAAACACGCATTATCTCAGATTTATTCCTGGACATTGGACAATCTAGAATACTCTATGCCAAAAACGGTTTAAAAATAAAAAAATATTTATAATCTGCCACATCTTAAATTTAAAAAGCTTGGAAACAAAATGTTCAACAAACACAAGCGTTTCTGTAGATTAATTAGGAAAAGTCTGTCATTCTTGATCAATAAAAAATGTTAAAGGGTACCGGAGTGAATTGGGGATGTCCTACTTTAAATGTAAAGTCACTTCAAATTAAGCTTACAGTCCCTTAAGCTGTAATATCTTGTTGATTAATTTGAACTTGTAAAAGGCAACCTAAAGTTTTATGCAAGGGAAGACACAACAGTTAGGGCGGTTCCCCTTCAGGTGAGAGAAGTGAGAGTGCTTTTAATATTTGTAAATTATAATCATGCCTTTATTTCCACTGTGCATTATAGTAATGTGCTATAAGTAGGATCGTTTTTGAGGGTTTTTGGACTTTAAACTGGTTCTGAAGAAATCTGAGAAGTTTTACAAAATTTCAAATTGTTTATTTCGATTACACTTCTAGCTTCAGGGAAAGCTGAATTCCCAATCCAGCTTTACCTGAGCCCGCGATTTAAAAAATTCGGGATAATACGGCTCGGGTCTAAGCTGCCGTTGGACCTTATTTACAGCTCAAAAACTCCAGGCGTGAGCGATGTCACAAGTAGGATGCTTTGCATGCGTTAGCCTGTTGCAACACCCGACTGGCACAAATTGGAGACAAAATTGGCGGATTTTTTTGAACCCCCAGATTCAAGCTGCATCTTATTTTCCACAGAGTTGAATTAAAAAAACCGGTTTAATATTCTATTTGGCGGATTTTCATGGTAGGAATTGGCGCATTCCCAGTTTTTATGAGAACAATTGACGCAAGATTGAGCCTTACTCTCCACTAAAACCAACCAAGGTCGGTTTTATTATCATTGGGCCTAACTCCTTAAGTCGAGCCGAAGATCTTGCAGCTGTCAATCACGTGACACAAGCTGTCGTTGGGTCGAAGATTGGGTCTTAAAGTCTGGTTTAAGGAATTACGACTCGAGCCGAAGCTTTTAAATCGCGGACTCTGGAGTTTTCTCTTTAAAAGTTGATCCACTCAACTTTATTTTAAACATTCCCGTGGATCCTCCGAGTTTCCAAATCAATATTTGAGGCAACTTGGTCAAGGGATTTATGATGAGTTATAATCGGACATTCAAACATTCAAACATACAAACAGCTACTACTTTATATTTAAAGATGCCAAGTTTTGACCCTAAGAAAATAGATACAGAAGAGGATAAAAATGTTGCAAAACTGGATAAAAGCAAACTTTAACCGTATTGAAATATTGGAAGTTTTTTTTTTTTTTTTGATTCTCAACTAATATTTGACCATTCACTGCTAATTTCTTCAACCTTTTTTCTTTACAAAAGAATAATTTCTTTCTTTAAATTAAATACTTTGATAAGAAATTGTACTTTTTATATTTTTGCAGGATGGTTTCTCTACGGAACAAGGAAAGTTGAAGATAAAACCTTTAATTAAAACCTTTTCTAAAATCAAATTCTACCACTTAAGATTCTAATTTTACAATTATGATTAATGAAACGATAATAACAAAATAGACATAGTCCTGCAAATTCCAAAATGTGGTCTCCCTTTATTGTGCGTTTAAGAATTAGCAGAGATATTTATGTAAAGTCGTCTGATGAACTGTCAATTAATTCCTGGCCTTTCTGGCTATGACTGCAGAAAATAGATATAATCATTCTTTATCTTAAACAGGCGAACCAGAGAACAGAAGGAGTGGGGTTATGATGAGGGAAGATACAACTGAACCTCAATCCAAAATGTCGTCTTCTATAGACGATAATTCAAATGTCGATGCAAAATCTTCAAGCAACGCCGGTACAAACAAAACAACTATAAACAATTAGATTTTGCTTATTAAAAAAACATCTCTATATGCTGTTTTTTTAATATATTTTTTAAACATTTGTACTTTATCATAGTTTGCCTCTTTTAGAGTTAGTTTTTTTTGAGGAGGCTCCCTTCGGTTCGATTTAAATCAATTTGAATTCAATTGTGTTCTTGTTTAAATTTTATCAATCTTTATAGAGTTGTCTTATTCCGCATATTTTTTCCTTTAAACGCATAGACCAACAAACAAATTGAAAAGAAAAACGAAGAAAAAACTGTTAGATCAGTGGGAAGGGGAGGGGGAAGGTTTCCCCTTGGAATTTTCGCTACATGTCTGAAATGAACGGATATGCGTTCATTTTTTGGCGTCTGGCGACGGGGAAAATGGAGAGCAGAAATTTCTAAATGCCGCCCATAAAACTAATTATCCAGAAAATGTTTTATTATTTCCCAATCAAGTATCTGTACTTCTTTTATTCGACAGCTAACAATCAGATTATTTCGTTTGGGATCTTTCCGGTGATAAAATAAAACAGAAAAATAGGTAACTTAACGTAATTTGAACTGACCATCCTTGCAAAGATTGCAATGTCCGATTCACACAACGGTACCCTTAAAAGCTTTGTGTGACCAAGTATGAATAAGATCAAGTTTATTATTTTGAAAACTGATTATTTTCAATTGTGGTTTCTCTACAAACGTAACTTTCGCAATTATACTCTTGAACCTAGAAAAACAACAATATCTTCCGCATTATTGATCAGATAAAGCTTTAAAGGGTACCGTCTTGGATCTATCGTTAACATCTTTGTATAGAGGGTTACTTGAGATTACGCTTACAGTCCTTTGAAAGCTAATTTTTAAACAAATAAATAGCTTAGAGACCGTTGTTATTGTACGGTGCATTATTTGTATTATTCAAAATATCAGAAGAATAACTTTCTTTGAGAAAATCTAAAAGTTAAAATATAAATCAGGTTTACTCTATAAAAACAAATTTAGAAACATCTACATCATCTTCCGACACCCCCGACTCCTCCAGCTCCTCCAGCTCCTCCAGCTCCTCCAACTCCTCCAGCTCCTCCAGCTCCTCCAGCTCCTCCAGCTCCTCCAGCTCCTCCAGCTCCTCCAGTTTGCCTCCAGGCAGAATACAGTGGTCTCCATACAAACGGTATTATTACTTATTAGATTTCTTTTCGCCATTACAAATATATATATATATATAAGCTTTCGTTGATTTATTAGATCTCTGGAACTTTCTGACAACCCGGAGAAAAATGAGAAGCTTGAAACCTTGAAATCTCCGATGGTTCTGTTCCCAAACTTTTCTGGTTCTCTGGGTAGGTGGGAGAGTAAGGATAAGGTAAACTAATCTACTGGAAACCTGGATAATATAGGATGTCCCAATAGACACATGGAAGTGAAGACTTTTTAACCGTTTTCGAGCTTAAATCTGATAGTTTACTGATATACAGCACTAGCTTGGGAACTCAGCTTTGACTGTAAACTTAACGTTCTCAATAAAAATCACCTTACCCAGCTTCGAATTTTTAAACCATTAGGTAACAATATTAGCTTGGTTTTACCGAGTTCCCTGAGCCCGAGATTTAAAAAATTTGGGAAAATACGGCTTGGGCTTTATTTACGACTTGAGCTTTCGGATTCAAGCTGTATCTTATTTTCTACAGAGTTGAGTTTAATATTCTATTCGGCGGATTTTCATGGTAGGAATAGGCGCATTCCGGGTTTTTATAAGAACAAGATTCAACTCTGAGCCTTATTCTCCACTAAAACCAACCAAGGTCGGTTTAATTTCATTGGGCCTAACTCTTAATTCGAGCCGAAGATCTTGCAGCTGTCGTCACGTGACAAACCTGTCGTCAGAATTGGGTCGAAGATTGTGTCTTAACGTCGGGTCAAGAACTACGGTTCGAGCCGAAGTTTATAAATCAAGGGCTCGGATCAAAGTTTGATGCAAATTGATCAAAGGGTACATGAGTTTTAATACAAATAGAAAACAAACTGATTGCTACTTAAAATAGTAAATAGATACTTTGAGATACTTCAAACGTCAAATCCTAGATTTTGAATTGTGATTTGTGACTCTAAGTGGTCTGTATTGTGATTAAAGAATTAATGAGATATTGACAACTTTTATTCTGTTAGCGGTCAAAGCAAAATAGTAAATACTCTCAACTTACTTTAAAGCGCAAATTAAATCTTTAGTTTTGAAAGTTTATCAAGACATAATAGGTTTCTTTCTTTTCGTATTTACTAAACGAATCTGTACAAATTTTGTTTTTTTTTGACCATATACCGCTGTAATATAATTCCCTGATATTTAGAAATTCTAGAAATTCTGACTTCAATCTGGTTAAATCAACCTCATGACAGACATTGTAAAAAACATAACATTATCACGTGAAAAAAATGTATTGCAAGAAATTAACTGATTTATATTATTGGGATTTAAAGTCTATTCATTCTATTAATTTTCTAGAAAAACCAGGAATTATCTTGTGAGCTCTTCTTGGCTGCGATGTTCTGCCGTGCTTGGACGTTCTTCATTGTGTTGCCACTGTTCTTCTGTTTCCTGACACTGTTGGCAGTCTTTTTTGCTAATTTCGAAGCTTTGATACGTTGGGCTTTGCTCACAAGATAATTCCTGGTTTTTCTAGAAAATGCCCAACGTATCAAAGCTTCGAAATTAGCAAAAAAGACTGCCAACAGTGTCAGGAAACAGAAGAACAGTGGCAACACAATGAAGAACGTCCAAGCACGGCAGCAGTCTTAGTTATTCTCTTACGGCTTCCAGGAGCTGCATCTTTCACTTGATTAGCCAACTTGGTGATGGATTTCTTCTTTTTCGTTTTCAATCTGTTCAAAATTGTATTATTTTTCACTGCTTGTCTTACAACAATTTTCTGTTGTTTACGCAGAGCTTTGACCATAACGTTAAATCCACAACGTTAGAAACACGTCTTGTCTCCTTGAGAGATGATGAACGAATGTTAAGTTGAGGATTTTCGTCGTAGTTGCGGATTTTCTTAATTATTTTTCGAAGATTTCCATGTTTTAAATCGAAATCTATAAAGTAAATTTTCTTTTCTTTAAGTAAAATGATTTATCATCATCATTATTTTAAATTATTTCGCTTCTCTTTTATGTTTTCGATAGCGGTTGGAGTTCCTCAAAATGGAGAGCTTTCGGATCTTATTTTTTCGGATTTTGTATTATGCTTTATTTTTTTTAACTAATCTCTTTAGTTTTTACCAAACATAGTCTCTAGACAACATTAAAGAAAGCTGAGGAGTCGTAAAAATTATTTTCATCTTTGCCTTCAATTTGTTTACAATAATCGAGGACAGTATAAATGTTGACACTAAATTCTCATGTTTCATTTATCAAGACAACCCTGTATAATAAATCTTAAACTTTATTCCTATTTTCTTCAGGTGGAAACTCAGATACTGAATATTAAACCTGCATTCATCCTTCCAGCTGTAGAAATTATAGAAGAAGAATGTAATGACAATAAGGAGGAGGAGGAGGAGGGTGGAGATGAGGAGAAGGAGGAGGATGTGAAGGAGGAGGAGGGAGAAAGTAGGAGGAGAACTAGAAGATCAACTCCTGTTGTTACTTGTGGAGGTGTTTATAGGTATACATTGGTTAAAACCTAGTGAGGCATGTAATTAAGCAATTGTTAGAAATTTTTAAATACATTTTAGAACTACTTGTCAATTGAATATAACATCACTAATAGACTAATATCTAAAGAAGATCCTATAAAAATTATTCAATTCTTTCAGTGAACTATTTTATTATTACTTACATCATAAAAAAGTTTTCCATGATGCTCTTGCATCATGTTTTCCATGAGCCGATGCTCTTGCATCATGTTTTCTAACAATTCGAGAACATTTTTAGAGATCTGTACGGTGTGTTCACATCTCCTGAGTTCCCTTTGTACTATCCTAACAATAAGAATTGTATCTACGATATAGAGGTCCCCTCTGACAACTATACTATCAAGGTTACTTGCGACGCCTTTACTCTTCAGGTATCTTATTTCTATATCATTGAAAAAAAATTTCTTTTAAAACGTCTTCCATTTGACAAAACATTGAAAAAATATAATTTTGAATAAATCTAAACACATAGTACTTTTTTAATAATACACATTGTAAATGTAGTGAAAAGACGACTTATATTAAAAATTTCTATCCTTGTGTACATTTAAGGGCTGGGACAACTGTACTCATGATTATATCCTGGTTTCTCCGTCCGGAGATACAACTTTCTCCGACGGAGAGAAATATTGCGGAGGCGCTTCTCCGGTTCTCCTCAGCTCTGGAAACCGTCTCACTATAAAGTTTAAGTCCGATGATCTCTTTAGGAAACCATCAAACTCGACATTTCTAAACTTTTATATACTTAGAGATATTTCTATTTGTAACCTACCTAACCTTGGAGATATTCCTACTTGTACTCTCCTATCCACAGAGATATTCCTACTTGTACCCTTCCTTTCCCTAGAAATATTCATATTTGTAACCTTTCTATCCCTAGAGATATTTCTATCTGTAACCTTCCTATCCTAGAAATATTTCTATTTGTAACCTTTCTATCCCTAGAGATATTTCTATTTGTAACCTTTCTATCCCTAGAGATATTTCTATTTGTAACCTTCCTATCCCTAGAAATATTTCTATTTGTAACCTTCCTATCCTAAAAATATTTCTGTTTGTATAACCTTCCTATCCCTAGAAATCCTATTTGCACCCTCCCAAACCGTAGAAGTATTCCTACTTGTACTCTCCTATCCTCAGAGATATTCCTACTTGTACCCTTCCTATCCCTAGAGATATTCCTACTTCCTATTCTAGTTACAATTGTACCCTACCAAAATGTAGCAATATTCCTACTTGTACCCTCCCCAACCTTAGATAAATGAAATCCTACCAAACCTTAGCAATATCTTACTTATTAATCCCCAACCAACCTTACATTATTTTACATGCGCTAAGTTTGATTGTGTACTGTGTCCTGTAGGTACCAAGGATTCTCCTGTAGATACAGAGCTCTTCAGCTAAACGGTATTGCAGTTCCAGGAACATTTGGGAACACGACTGTAAACAAACCAACAGGGAACTCATTCCTTCAGATAGTTCAGTGTCAAGCTCTAGGTATAGACAACATAGTGGAATAACGGTTTATATCATCCTGAGGAAACTGATTACTCGACCATGACTTAAATTTTCCAACCCATATTTTTTTTGCAACCTGAGGATGCAAAACTAAATACTTTAACAATCTTTCAAAATTTATAGTATGAATTATTAAAGGACTACGAGATGTTGTAACTTGTAACTATATCAGGGTAAGAAAATCAAAGTGGTTGATTCCTTTAAAAGATCCGGAGAATGCTTTAAAACCGCCAAAAATTACTAAAAAAATTATTCAAATAGATAAAACAAAGGTGAAGATTTGCAATTGAAATTAAATGTTTTTTTTTCATTGGTTACTGAAAGAAAGATGAAGATAGGCAATTTCATGAATTTTATAATCAATAATATACTTGGATTACTAGAAACAACATAATACTGATTAAATACGACCTATGCACTAAAAAGACGAACTGAAGACTGATAAAACACACCTTTACACTCAAAAAAAGATTAATATATTCAGGAGGAGCAACTGCTCTAGATACCTCTAACCCTGATGGATCAGATGATGAGTCAGGATCAGCTTCATTGTATTCAGGTAAACCTTTACCCTTAGCATGATAAAACTTTTCTGTTTGTCTATATGGTATGGGTTAAACGTTCCTGCTTTGTAGGATAATGTATCTATATGGATTTATGGATTAAATGTTTCTGTATTGTAGAATTATGGAACACTATAAGTTAAATGTTTCTGAATCATAGGATTATGGAACAATATGGGTTTAATGTTTCTGTATTATGGGATTATGAAACGGTAAGGGTTAAATGTTCCTACATTGTAGGATTATGGAACAGTATGGGTTAAATATTCCTGTATAATAGGATTATGGAACGGTATGTGTGGGAACGGAAACCTACCTCCTCCTCCCAGTCCTACTAACCGTATAGTGGGAGGATGGCCGACTACAGAGCATCAATTCCCCTGGATGGCAGCTGTTCTCAGACGATGTGAAGATCAATTTTGTCAGATTTGTGGAGCTACTATTATATCAGGTAAACAATCAAACAAAACATCAACCTTATTATAACCCTAACCCTGGTAAAAATATGGAACCTGGAGCCATATTTAAATTATCCATAATGTTGAACCCTAAGTTCAGCCCAAACTAAGGATGAGTTTTCCGATGGCAATCTACAAAATGCACTCAAAAAATATTTTCTGTCCAAGCATTTCAAATGTCTGCCCATCTAGCTTTTACGTTAATTTAATACATCATTTTTAACTTTAATAATTTATTTTAATTAAATGTTACAATATTTTTAAATATTTATATGGTACCAGATGAAAATATTTTGAGATTTCTATATTTCTTGTTATTCATTTTCTTCTTGTTCGTACATCTTTGAATCATATTTGACTAATTTTGAAAATAAAAAGAAAAGATTTTTTTGGATGTTCTTGTGGTTTGCCACTTTACAAGAAAGAACTTTTTTTTAGGATCTTGCTTTTTTTCTGAACTCTGTATTGCATTGAACTAGCTGAGAAGAGCTTGCTTTCTTTTCTCTGAACTCTTTATAGAATTGTTTACTTGTGAGTTGCGTCTAAGCAAAAACACAATTTCCTGATATTTTCTTGGGGCCGGGTGGGGAGGGGGGGGGGAGAGCAATCGTCTTCCAAGTCCCCATCTCTAATATTTTCCTTCCAATTTTTCCTGTTCAATTTTCTTTTTTCTTCTTGCTTCTTCTTGCCTTTCGTTCGCTTGTGAAAAATGCGAAAATTTTTTCTTTTTTCGCAAAATTTTGCTTCAATCTGTTTTGCAAAAAAGTGCGCAAAATTAATGCAACAATTTTGTGAAAAAAAATATGTGAAAACTTTGCAAAAGAAATTAAGCAAAAATTTCGCGAAAAAAATAATGCAAAAATTTTGCGAAAAAGTAATGGAAAAATTTTGTGGACGGACAGACAGAAACTTAAAAATTGTCATCAATTTAATGAAGATTTTTCGTATTAACCATTTTATACATTTTTGTTGGGCTATGTATATCAAATATTAGTGTACGGCACTCTATTTTGAAAATATTATAATATGTGATGTGATTCATAATAGTTAGTTTTACGTGCATCATAACTTCATGTATTATCTGTAGAGGAATGGATTCTTACTGGAGCCCACTGTATGGCGACTGTACCAGCTGCTGAGCTGGGGATTCTGGTCGGAGACTACAACCTCTTCACCATCAGCAACAGCCAGAAGTTTATCAAGGTGAAGGACAAGGTTATTCATCCGGACTACAATGTTCCTTCTCCGCTTAACAACAATATAGGAAACTTTTCAGATATTATCATTTGTCAGGTTTATTCATTTTTTAATTCCTGATGAAATATTTACTTTTAAAAACCCCCGTCCTTAATTTTAGGAAACCACTGGTTCAGTTTATTCCGGTAAAGCGACTGATAATGTAATTTAAAGTCATCTATTGTTTTTGACACTAGTACCTTAGAAACTTTCATCTAAGAAAAATATCTTGTTTTTCTATTTGAAATTTATTTTTTCTTTACAAAAGGGACTAACGGATTTATGCTTAAAAAACAATTATAAAGAAGGAAATTGACAGAAATAAGTACATTTAACATAGAAATCAACGATATCTTCACCATTGTTGCTCAAATAAAGGCACGTGAATGAAATTACGTTTTCAGTCCATTAAATTTCAAATAACTATTAAAATCCCCAGACATAAAAAAGTATGAGAAAAGAGTAAAAAAAAGAAAAAAATATTTTTGATATATTTGAAAAAGTCGCTAAAACCAGGCTTAATCCGGCTTGAGACTCCGATAGTTTTCACCAAGTTTATCTCTCCCCTATGTTTACCTGCACTCGGAGAAACTGGGTTTGGGGGTTTTGCATACAAGAATGCAACCGTACTTGATACTTCAGGTAATAATGGATCAAAAGTGACTTTCTTTGCTTTTTATCATGTCTCTTTTTTAAACTAGTATTATTAGTATTGTATATGTAGGTTTAATCACAGTTTATTAAGTAAAATATACTTTGCGAAAGGTTATTAAGGCAACGCATCATTTCAACAATCAATCTTCGATACGTAAGTTTAAGGTTTGGAAATAGCTATATACTCCAGGATTGGATATAATTGCATACCTTATATCAAAACTTGATCAAATCCCTTTACTCCAGGGTTGAATATAGCTGGATATCTGGTATCATTTCAATACTTGATCAATTCCCTTTACTCCAGGGTTGGATATAGCTTGATACCTTGTATCTTTTCAATACTTGACCAGTTTCCTTTACCCAAGGGTGTAATGAAGTTTGATATCTGGTATCATTTCAATACTTGAACAGCTCCCTTTACTCCAGGGTTGAATACAACTGGTAATCTGCTATAATTTTAATACTTGATCAATTTCCTATACTCCAGGGTTGAATATAACTTGATACCTTGTATTATTTCAAAACTTGATGAATTTCCTTTACTCCAGGGTTGAATATAGCTGTATATCTGGTTTCAATTCAATACTTGATCAATTCCCTTTACTCCAGAGTTGAATTTAGCTGGATAACTGGTATCATTTCAATACTTGATCAATTTCCTTTACTCCAGAGTTGAATATAGCTGGATATAGCTTGATACCTTGTATCTTTTCAATACTTGACCAGTTTCCTTTACTCCAGGGTTGGATATAGTTTGATATCTGGTATCATTTCAATACTGGACCAGTTTCCTTTACTCCAGGGTTGGAGATAGTTTGATATCTGGTATCATTTCAATACTTGTTCAATTTCCTTTACTCCAGGGTTGGATATAGTTTGATACCTTGTATCTTTTCAATACTTGACCAGTCTCCTTTACTCCAGGGTTGGATATAGTTAAATACCTGCAGATATCATTTCAATACTTGATCAATTCCCTTTACTCCAGGCTTGAATATAGTTGGACAGAATGCTACAGTGTTGGGGTGGGGGATGATAAATGATGACGGGGTCTATGCTGAAAGTCTGAGAGGAGTTCAGGTACACTCATATTCCAGTTGATAAATGTATAAACTGTTCAAACTGAACTGATATTTATTTTCCAGGTCGCGTGGTTAACCATCCTTTCAAAGATCAAATCAATCAATGGCTTGTCCTACTTATTAACCGTCTTGGACCGAATAAAGAAAAACTTGTTTCTCAAATGGTTAAACCACTTTTTAGTTTTTAATTAATTAAGCTAAATGGCTAAAATTTGCATATTTAAAAAGACCTTGAAAAATGAATATAATAACATGTGGCACATGTTAATATTTGTCAAAAGTAAGAATAACTGTTTTTTCATCATTTTTCCGACGCACTTTTGGAACTTTTTTCAAATCCTCCCTTGCACCGTAACCATTAAAGTTAGAAGTCTATTTTTTTGAGAAATTAACTCTAAGGGCAAAATCAGAGGGGGAGGGGTGTCTTGCATGATGAAATTTGCGCTCAAACTCAAGTATTTAAACAAGAACATCATTTTTGTGGTCCTTTCTTTGTGGTGCTCATCAGCAAGGAAATTTCATTCTGCATTGGAGACTAAAATCTTGCCATTCTGCATAAGAATAACTACAAATTATTTAGATTTGATTGGTAGATTTGCATATTTAAGGCCTTTATACAAATTCATAATGCGGTCAAATTAAAATTTACAATCTCAATAAAATCAAAATGTTTAAAAATTGGAACCATGGTGAGTGATACAATGTATAAAAGAGCGTTTTTTAGAACACCCTGTACATTTAATATTTATTTTGTCAAAAAATTAAATTGTATCATACATCACACACCATTTGACTTGATATGAATCTTTCTGTGTATGTTTTAGTGGACCACAGACATCCAGACAGCTATGTGAAGATTATCAAGACTATAGTTTTACCCTACTAACTCAGTTTTACATTAATTTTGCCCTTTAGAAACATTTTAGAACTATAAACTGCTGTTTCTATAGTTTTAGTTGAAAACAATTTACTGGCCAAATGCTGAAGAATTTTACACGAGACGAGTGCAAAATTTGAGTCATTGAATTTACTTTTAGGTTGAAATATTGGAAAACGAGGAATGTAACAAACTTTACGGAATAATGACGGAAACTATGATGTGCACTTCTGGAAACAACGGACGCGGAACGTGCTACGGAGACAGTGGTGGCCCAGCGGTTGTTTTACAACCCGACGGTACCTATGTACAGGTGGTTGATTGATTTATTAATCGATAGGTCGTCTTTTTTTCTGAAAAAAGAAACAATATGTCGAAACTAAACTATAAAGCAGGATGAAGAAGACTTATAAATTAACATAGTTGTAGGTTTCTGCAAAAGCATGTCAAAACATATTCAAAACTCTCCATTTTTGGCTTCTAAAGAATTTATTTTCTTTTATAGGTCTTTGTATTATAAGAATTTAGGGTGCACATTTCACACAGCGCACAGTTAATTAAACAATCCTTTCTAGTTTTTGTAGATTTTTCTTATAGTTCTTTTAAAATAAAAAAATGTAAAGCATCAAATTTTTATCATTCAATTGATTTCTAACTTAAAATTTGATATATTTGTTTATATAGTTTTTTTTTATCTCTAAACAAACAGTCACAAAACAAGCCAAACAAATCTGTTTGTTGTCATTGATATGAAATCTAAAAACTAAAAATTACTAATTTTGAAATTTTAAAGGTTGGAATCCTTTCTTTTGGTGCTCTAGCTGGCTGTGAGCTTGGATATCCTAGTGGTCAGGTTCTTGTTCATAAGTTTATAGATTGGATCCAGGTAGTCACTAACATAGCGTTCGGAGCACGGTTCGGATAAATCTGAAGCAGGACGGGAGAACACAAGATTGAACGGTTTTAATCATCATCATCATCATCGTAAATTTATTATTGTATTCGTTATTATCATAACACTGTAATTAATATGTTTAATTGCATTTTTATCTCTGACTAAAATTGTTTTTTAGCTATACAGATTTCTTTTGTTTCTGTATCAAATATAATCACAGACATACAAATTAACTAGACCGGAGACTGAAGAAGTGTATTAAGTTTTTTTCCAATCTATTTAACAAAAATGTATTTCTCTCGGCTCAGTAATATTATGCCTAGTTCCCGAATGCCTAGTTCGTGAATGCATAGTTCACTTTGCCTAGTTCATGAATGACTAGACAACATTATGCCTAGATTTCTGAATGCCTATATAACATTATGCCTAGATTTTTGAATGCCTAGTTCATAATGCCTAGATAACATAATGTCTAGAGAACACAATGCCTAGATTCATGAACACCTGGATAACATTATGCCTAGATAACATAAGAGTGCATTGAATGTCTAGACAATGTATTTCAAAGAGAAATAAAAATATTAAAGAGAGAGAAAAAAACATACAATCGGGTAACATTTTAACAAAAATCCGCAAACAACTTTCTGAAAATGTGCAACTAGATGCAAGAGAAAGATTAAAGTTTGTTGTTGATGCTTTTGACAGCATGCCAAGAGCAGATTATAGTGCGCTAGAGGGAGCTGTACGCTAGAGGTACAGAGCTCTGGTTTAAAAGTGATTTAATAGGTGATATTGAACAATTTATGAATATATTTTTAATACAAAAGTGTTGTGAACATACGGGCTTTGGCCTGGTGTTAAACAGTTAGTGACTGCCTGTGATTTTAGGCCTATTGACCTATGTTTTAAAAAACAACGGCTGGGTCACGTGATATATAGCTGGTCAGCTATTGGTCTCCAACAATTATACCGGCTCTGTTTCTATTGGTAATAAGTTGACCAAGCTGAGATTGACGATATTATTAATTTTATATGCACGACCTAATTACAGTATGATTCTGTTCTTGTATTTGTATTCATTTTTGATATATACTCTTATAGTTCTTTTTTCTTCTGTTTAATTGTACAAATTATTCAAATTGTGTACGTTCACGAAATAAAATAAAAATAAAATAAAATATTTCTACTTTGACCCATGATAGGCAAAAATTTGACCAATAAAATATGTAATAAATCATGTAAACATATCAGTATCATTTATTTATTGCTTGACAATGTCTTTAGGCATTCAATTCAGTCTAATGTTATCTAGGCATATGCATTGGGTGACTAGGCATTATGAAATCTAGGCATAATGTTTTCTAGGCACTCAGAAATATAGGCATAATGTTATATAGGCAACCATGAATCTAGGCATGGTGTTATCTAGGCATAATGTTATCTAGGCATTACGAACTAGGCATTCATGAATATAGGCATAGTGAACTAGGCATTCACGAACTAGGCATTCGAGAACTAGACATAATGTTACTGAGCCTTTCTCTCCATGAAAACAATACTTGAATAAATTGTTTTCTTTTAATCCCAGTGCGTGGAAATTTTTACACTCATTGAATATTATCATAAAACATAATTTTTCAATTCCAAGTTTTAGTTCTTATCACTCAGTTATATTAAATTTTTGCGAGAAAAGAATATAAAATATTACATTTCTTTCATCTTAAAGGAACTGTAGACGTGATTTCGAGTAAATCATTCATTTTTAGAGTGTCATGTCCAATTCACAATTATCCATGCAGTGAGAAATAAATCGCTGTTCGTTCTTGAAAAGTGTTAAATTCTGATATTTTTTTTTCATTGGCTCTTTAATAAATGAACTGCATAACTACTTATCCAGGTAAAATTGTATACTAAATAGTGTATACAGTATCTCTCCATATTATCCTATTATTAGGTTAGAAAACTTATCTTTTTCTATTACAAGTTTTCTTCTTAACACCTTTCTCTCGCAGTTGATCAATATCGGGTTTTCTCACAGCTTTGTATCTACCCTGCCACTCCTGTGATACAGGATGCTGGTCAGAATACAGAATTCTACTCCAGTCTACTCCTAACTCTGCCACCTTGACCTTGAACCTTGCTCCGGGTACTCCATTCAGCTCTGCTAATGTCTCCCATGCTAGCTCTAGAGTGGAGACAAGATGTTCAACTTTCCCACAACTCTTTAATCTGATCAGGAGCATTATCTAAAAGAAAAAGATTGACAGCTAGTATAAACAACTTCCTCTGAGAAAGATATGGATCCATATAAAAGTATGAATCGACTAAAAGGAAATGCATAAATGTGTATCTGTACTTGTGAAATTTATTTATATTCAAATATAAAAGAGAAGGTAGGATACACTTCTAAATAAAGAAGAGAAGGCAGGATACACTCCTAAATATGGAAGAGAAGGTAGGATACAATTCTAAATAAAGAAGAGATGGTAGGATACACTCCTAAATATAGCAGAGAAGGTAGAATATTTTAAAAATTTGGTGATGATGATGGACCAAACCTGTATAGAGTAAATAAAGTAGATGTAGGATGTATTCCTAAACATAGTAGAGAAGGTAGGATATATTCCTGAATATAGAAGAGAAGATATGATATATTCCTAATTATATAGAAGAAAAGGTAGGATAAATTCCTAAATATATAGAAGAGAAGGTTGGATTTATTCCTATATATATAAGAGAAGGTAGGATATATTCCTAAATATAGAAGAGAAGGTAGGATATATTCCTAAATATATAAAAGAAGATATATTCCTAAATATAGAGAAGAGAAGGTAAGACATATTGCTAAATATATAGAAGAGAAGGTTGGATATATTCCTAAATATATAGAAGAGAAGGTACGATATAATCTTAAATATATAGAAGAGAAGGTAGGATATGTTCCTAAATATGTAGAAGAGAAGGTTAAACATACTCCTAAATATATAAGAGAAGGTAGGACATATTCCTAAATATAGAAGAGAAGGTAGGATATATTCCTAAATATATAAGAGAAGATATGATATTTTCCTAAATATAGAGAAGAGAAGGTAGGATATATTCCTAAATATATAAGAGAAGATATGATATTTTCCTAAATATAGAGAAGAGAAGGTAGGATATATTCCTAAATATATAAGAGAAGATATGATATTTTCCTAAATATAGAGAAGAGAAGGTAGGATATATTCTTAAATATATAGAAGAGAAAGTAGGATTTATTCCTAAATATAGAAGAGAAGGTATATTCCTAAAGAAGAGAAAGAGGTTTCCTAGAATTTTCTGTTTTTAATGAAAATCAATTTCCTATGGCCAGACGGAACCAATACTCTTCCTTTTCTATTATCTATCACAGATATAGAAATCATATTCTACGGTTGAGTAGAGAATATCAGGGACAAGACCAACGTTTACTCTCGAACTGTCATGCGCAATTTATGAATTTATGAAGTTTTTTCTCCACAAGGTCCACTATATCACGTGATATACCGTGGTGATATAAATAATGGTTGTCGGTCTAGTCACAGAGAAGAATTGATCTATGTTGCAGACAGCCAACCTTCGGCTAGTTTGTATAAAAGAAAGGTTCCCTTGGGTTTCCAACAGAAGACTTAAATTCAATATTTCTCCCTTCACACAAACTCAGGGATCCGCAGTATTTTAATATAGGATATACAGGATATACAGGATATACAGGATAAACAGGATATACAGGATATACAGGATATACATGTTATACAGGATATACAGGATATACAGAGCTGAAAACTTTAGAATGTGATATCCTTAATCCTGATCTGTTAGTTAATCTGGAGATTAAATTCATGAGGTGAACAAGCAATATTTAATCTGGAGACTAAGAAAAAGAGTGGATTAAGCATTAATCCTGATATCCAATATTCTAAAGTTCCCAGCTCTGGATGTACAGGATATACAGGATATCCAGGATTTACAGAAAATGCAGCATATAAAGAGCATAAAAATTATTTAGGATATGTCTCTTGAGCTGAAAACGTTAGAATTGTGGATTTCGAGATCAATGCTTTATCTCCTCTTTTTATCAATCTGCAGATTAATCTAATCTTACATTAATCTCAAAGAAAGTGACTATATTGCAATCATTAAGAGTGTCGATAGAAAAAACTGAACATCCAATCAGAAGCCGAGAAATTTTGTGCGCAATCAATGTGAGAACTGCCAATTGTCAGACCCTTTTAGGAATATCCAAACGCGAGGATAAAGCAGAAAATCCAAAGTGTCCTCAGTGGATATCGATATTTAGCAATCGGGATTAAGGGTATCCAAGGATACTTAGTATATTATATCTATTAGAGAGGTAAACCTGTTCTTGAATATTGGTCCAATCCTTCTCCAGGTTACAGGATGTTCTCCACTCCCTCCTCAACTTGCTCAACCGAACCCTTCTCCGGTCCTCAATATTCCTGAGGTAGGATGGTAGACTACATTCCTCACACTTACACTCAAACCTTGGTAAAACGGTTTCAAGGATGATGGTTCTGATTAGGGTGGTGGTCGGTGGACGGAGAGGTATTTTTAAAAGAATAGTTTATTATTACTCAGGAGAATTGTCGCAGTGTTTAATTTCTAGTTGAGTTGGAGTAAATAACTTCTTATTTTACTAATATACAGGGTGTCGAAATATACATGGCAATCAGTGAAATTTAGAATTTCAAAAATGTCATCTTCCGTTTTTGTACATAAATTAAAACTGGCGTAAAAGTCAAAAATCAAAATTAAAATCAAATCTAAATGTTTAAAATCTCTACGATAATTTTTTGCTTATGTCTTTTTTGCTATACGGCATTTTTTCTGTGTTAAGAACATCCCCATCACATATTAGGCCATGATGCGTCGCAGGCTACAAGAAAGATCAAGTGCTGCGACTAGGTCAGGCAACATGGCCGCACACTGTAAGTAGGTGCTTTTAAACTCTTACTTTAATGAAAGATTTAATTGAAATTCTGATTCACTCTCTTTTTAACAAAATGGATTTCAATAACGTATTCCTTTTTTTCCTAGATTGTGAATTAGATTTAGGACAAAATCATAGTAAAAATGGCATATATATCATATTTGTTTTAACCTGTACCTGTAAGCCCAGTTTAAATAAGTTCTCCGTTCTTGAGCTAGACACGGAGCTTCCTCCTCCAGTGTATCCAAGTAGCAGAGAGTTAACTCTTCGTCCTTCTCAACTCTTAGGACACAATTAACCCTGTACTTCGGGATATATAAATATGTATTTATTTAATATTGTTTGAAATATCTATGTGTAATAAAGCTCTTCGCTCATATATATATATATATGAAAGCTATAGCTGGTCAAACGGCTGGACCAAATTGGCTGAAATATTTTAGTAACCCATTCGAATAGAAAAACGTTTCTAGAATTTCACGGGCAACGCCGGAAACTTCAGCTACTTTTGATAAAAGATCAAAGTTTTGAAATAAAAGTTCAAAATAATAATGTTCCGTTCTTCAATATATATTCTGATATCTGAAAATATCCAATTTTCCTGATCACGAAAATTCCATTTTCTTCTTCCCCAGTAAAGGAACAGTTTGACCTGGAAAAATATATTAAAATTTGTTCTCCAATTCTAAAAAACTATGCTTATCACAATTGTTGCTACCCAATGATCCTACGGAATATATTCTTTTTGTAACTTAGTCTTGAAAAATAATAATGAAGAATGTATGGTAGTTCAATACAAAGGGATTGAACACTCGCACAAACTATAATGTTCTAATTCCTTTGGAACTTTTTGCGTTAACCTTTGATATTTCAAGCTTTCATTAGTTGACCGAACTGAATTCTTAGTTTGAAATGTCAAAGGTTGAGGCGTCAGGTTGCAAATAATCAGTTCATCTCATTTTTGAATTTTTAGGTTTTTGTCCTGGTTAAATTTTACTATTAGTTTTTTGTCCTGGTAATGGTTAAATTTTACTATTAGGTTTTTGTCCTGGTAATGGTTAAATTTTACTATTATGTGCCTACTGCCTAGATAGGAACTAAATAGAGCAAAGTATATCCTGGGGGTGCTTACTCCGTTTAGTTTTTATCGTATATTCAAAGTCCAAAAAAAAAGTGTTAAATCACATAAATAATCTATTTTTTAAAACGCCTTTCCTTTAAAAACATTAAAATATCAAAATCCCAAAACTCTGAGGAGAATTCCTCCCTCCCCCTCTCCCCCGTGTAGATGTTTTTAGGATAGCTTATGTTCAGATGGATTAAAAAAATCACGCAACATTTTAGACAGAGGGGGGGGGGCAATAAATTTAATAAAATCAAACCTGCAAGAATGATTGAATCTGGAAAGGTTTGGGAAAACTCCTGAAACATTTTCCTGAATGATAAAGGAATTGGTGCAGAATATACCAACTATCCTTTCCTTTAAACCAGGAGAAGGGAATACAGTTGCAAGGTGCTCGATCTTCTCTCTTCCAGACCTAGTTAAATATTTCTTTTAGAATTATATATCTTTAGATTTAACATTTTTTATTTTACTATTAATCTGTCATTTACTTTACTTTATTTTCCCAACATTTAAAGATGGATCAAAAGATTGGTGGGCTTTTAAAAATGTAAACAGTATGTAGCTTACATTTTAAAAATGAGATAGTTGCAATAGATCTGGAAAGAAAAGTTTATATGAATAGTTCTACTTTACGTCTTAAAGTAAACGCAGTCAGTCTTTGCCACAAAGTCTGATTTTCTAATACCTATATCTTTGCAACCCAACTAAAAAAATCTAAGTTTGAAATAACAAAGGGTTACATCATCAGGTTGCAAAGATTATAGGGATACGCAAATTTGAGTCTAGGGAATTCCTTTCGTTTTATATTGGAATCAGTTGCATGTTTTCAAACAAAACCAAGTGAGAGTTAAGTTACAAGGACGCAAAGAGCTACCAGTATTTTTTTTTATCAATTCAACCTTTAGAGTTTCAAAGCTTGATTGGATTGTACAGATTTTACTTCTTTGGAATATCTTTAAATAATTTAAATAAAAAACCTCGTAAAATATCTATATTTAGTCAAAACCTTTGTTTGTCTATTAAAGGTAACATGGAATAGTTCATGCATCTAAATAAAAATGAATTGTGCGATAGGGGGGGGGGGGGGGGGAAGGATAGACACAAAATTCTTCGTTTGAGCCACATTTTCATAACTTTCGTCTGAGCCACCTCCTAATACACGTTTTCCAATTCTATAAAATGCCGAATCTTTGAGATTAAAAATCCTTTTTTAAACTGGTTAAAAATGTGGCTCGGAGGAGAAATTACTGTGGCTGGTCTCACTGCACCATGAAGAATAAACCTACCAGTCTAAACTTAGATATGATTGATAAAGATCTTCACAGCTTTTCTCGAATCCAAGCAAACTATAATTATAACAAAATTGCATGAAATGTTCAAAAATAATCTTAAAAATGAAAGGCAGACAGAAAGTTGTTCGCCAAAGCTTTTTTTACAAACTGATGAGTTATATAAAGGTTAACCCAGCGCTGTCCAGGTTACTAAAAGTTACTCCCGCCGTTTACCCGCACTTAAATGATTTTACCGGGAAACTAAATTTTCACTATTAAAGTCGACCCACTCAACTTAGAATCTCAAAACCAAGCTAAGAACATTCCCGTGGGTCTCCTGAGTTCCCAATCAAAATATTTGAGGCAAATAGGTCCTGAGTTATGATCGAACAAACAAACAGAGGAGATTACAACTTGAAGACAAGTATATAGATGCGATTAATTGTCCTAAGGTCTAAGTTTCTAATTCGTATTTCTTTAAAACCTAATTGTGAAATCTTTGATATTTCAAACTTTTGAACTTACAGTTTGAAATATCAAAGGTTTATGAAAATCAGTATTTACGGTACATACGGTCAAAAAATTTAATAAAAATGTACTTAAATCCTATTTTTTTACGAATAGTTTTGGATTCAAAACTATCTTATGAGTATGAGTTTAATAATAAAATTTAGTTTTGTTTACCTAATAATGTTCCTGACATGATCTAGTATATGTCTCCAAAGAAGTAAGAATAAAAATCCTGAAAAAAGAATTAAGTTTTAACATAAATCTCTGATTTTTAATCCCTATATATTTGCAACCCAATGTCGTATACTTTTGATATTTCTAATAATATTGTGAAAGGCTGCCAAGGATTGTGATCATGAAAACAATAAGATGAAAGGCGAAGAATCCAAGTTCCTGGGTTCCTGCCCCTGCCAGAATATTTCCGACTAATGTTTCATTCTCCGGAGGTCAAATCTAATCACTATTCTTCTTGGACCTGGAGCTGAAACCTTCCCCCCCCCTCACACCCTGGTCCATCCATCCAAAATATATCAATCACAAAGTAATCATAATCAGTTCTCAAACCTCAAAGAAAGAAACAGATTTGTGTAGAGTGAGACCAATAAAACTGTGGAGTAAGCAGACGACTGTTACACTCAAATTATGTTTACAAACAGTCCAATAAACATAAAACACTGCAATTGTGCAGCGTTATACACAAACCCATTGTTCTTCAAAGGTCAACACCAATTGCACATAAGATTGCTTAAATGTCGTCTTTCTATTCCACAGTTTCATGGGGATCACTAACTTTATAAGCTAAGAAACCTACCTATTTGAGGAAGGAGATAAACTATTGGAAGGATGAGGAGAAGGGGTAGTATCACGTGTAAGATAAGAAACCTACCTATTTGAGGAAGAAGATAAACTATTGGAAGGATGAGGAGAAGGGGGTAGTATCACGTGTAAGATAAGAAACCTACCTATTTGAGGAAGAAGATAAACTATTGGAAGGATGAGGAGAAGGGGTAGTATCACGTGTAAGATAAGAAACCTACCTATTTGAGGAAGAAGATAAACTATTGGAAGGATGAGGAGAAGGGGTAGTATCACGTGTAAGATGAGGAGACGATCCCTTTGCTGAACAGATTTACCCTGGGCTAACCATTCCTTAAACTAAACTCAGCTAAGGATTCAAATATGAAAAATTGCTTGAGTGAAATATAGATTAATGGGACTGTTCTTGTAATTTCGAATGACCCTCCATTTAAAGATGGGAATTCTCGATTAACAAAGGTACCCTTTCAATCTTTATCTCATTAATAATGTCGTCGTTTTCATATCTCAAAAAGTGCTAAATTATGACAATTAACTTCATTGTTTCTGTACGCAGAAATTCACAAGTAAAGTTTATAGAGAGAGACCACAAATGAAAATACTCAGGAACCAAAAAAAGAAACATGTATCAGACAAAGCTTTGAAGGGTACCGTTGTGAATGGAAACCATGCCACTCTATGCATAATACGTGTTTACAGACCCAACAACTATAATTTTAATCCAAAAAATTGCTTTATTTAAAAGAAGAAAGATAAACAAATCAGACTTTAAGGAATCTTTAAAAGGGTAAAGAAAATATATTTGGTTGGTCAATGTAAAAGTCATCATAAACAAAATAACATTGTTTATTATCACTTCATTTTTTCAAGACGTTTTTCCAATCTTTGTCTGCTAATTTTACAAATACATAATTTCTAATTCTAATTTTTTTTGACAAGAAATAATTTTGAGTAAAAATAGAATACCACTGCAAATCTGAACAGGGAAACCTACCTTGTAATCGTGCTCCAGGGTTAGGATTGGATAGTCTTGAACTACTAGTTCTCCAGGTTCTATTCCGCGTGTAGCAACACAACCCAAACCTTTTCCCGGGATCTCTCGAACCTTACAGTAGAGAATAGATTTACAGGAATGGTGCAAAAGAAAACCTAACCATTTTGTTAAAAAAATGGGTTACAATGTAAACAAACTGATAATCATCTAAAAAAATGTAGAATGTATAGGATATACTACTGTTTTTTTAATCTTCCTAACAGAAACAATCTCAAGAACTGACGAGGGTCAACACAGACCGAATCATATTTTCAATAAATGTGGAAATAACATCTACTTTTTTACTCTACAGAGGTTTGGTCCATCACCATTACCGAAATTAAATAAGATATGGGGTTTGGTGAAACAGGATACTTTTTACATATTGAACCATAATAGTTCCACAAAGCATCATTTCATCCAGATATTTCCAAGCTTTTCGATATCCGGGTTTCTTTCTTTTAATTTCCTGAATTTCCTAACAAATGTTGAATAGGTATATTTAATTCTAAACGAATTTATATAATAATAATTTAGAATAAGATCTATAAATATCACCATAATTTTTAAAGTTTCAAAATTGTAAATATTTGCAAATCCAGAACACCACTTAATTTCAATATTGGTTCTTTGTCACTTGATTAAACAAAATGTAAAATGAATAATTTTTATATCTGTCTGAAATCAGAAACTCTGACTTCAAATTGGGCAAATACTGTTTTATCCAGATATTTTTGGGTCCTGACTTGGTTTTAGTGATATTCTAAGCACTTTGCACTAAGCATTGTATAACCTTAAAAAAACAATAAACAAAAAAGTTTTCTTTCTTTTCTTTGATGAACATAAATGTTTTAAAATATAGTTTTGACAAAACATTTTTGAATCCCAAATTGTAAAAATACTCATTGTGGGCCGCATAAAATTGGAAGCAAATTATTTCAGTTGTTTGGTTTACAAGACAAATATATTTATAGATTATATAGATATATATACATTTGGAAGATTTACGTACTGATGTTAAAAGGGTTTTTCGATTTCCAGTTTTCCGATGAATATCATTTATCTTCTCTTATAGTTTATGGATGGTACATACACGGAAACTAGAACAGAGAGATACAGGCATATATCCGGGAGAACCTCAACTCAATATTAAGAAAAAAAACAATTGTAAATATTTCAAGAAAACACGTTTTTGAATTTTTTACGAACACCCATTCTTAAACTTAAAGGTTAACAAAAAACTGTAGAACACTAAATTCATAAAATATAAAAAATATTCATTTGAAATATCAATGGTTAACACCGTTAGGTTGCAAAATATATAAAAATTTGAGTTGAAGGCAAGTTTAAGTTTCTTTTAAAACACCGCAAAATTCAATTAATTCTAACCGGAAAAAGCTTGTAAATTAAGCTTAAAACTGGCCAAAACCCAAGAAGTTTAATAAATCTGACATCCAAGTATTATCACCCAATGAGATCATATAAGAACCTATATAGTAGAAGGAGTTGAACCAGCTTTGCTTGGTTCAAAAACTTGCATAAATATAGGGATTAGAAAATTAATGGTTGACACGAGTGATCAGTTTCATTCTATTTCATGGCTTGATAATCTTTTAGTTTGCAGAATCTAAAATCATATTTTCATCCACAGTAACTCAATAATCAATCAATCAATGATATTGATATCATCTCCATACATGAATATATATTTATATATATATATTAATGTATATATTACACGTACATCAAGATCTGATAAAAACATACATTATCCAAAATGTTACTCTATAAATAAAAATATATAAGGAATTACACCGCTTTTACAAAAGAGGTTGGCCGATTATTTTTAGAAATCTTATTTTTTAATCAACTTTACTTTGGAATTTTCGATTTTTTTTGCAATTGTTACATTTGAACATCAAAATGCACAAAGAATAAAGTATGATTTATAAATATTTACTAGTCTCAATAAAGCATACAGTCTGCATTATTCGCCCTTTTTAGAAATTTATGAAAAATATTATTTTAAATTGTGAATAGAAAGTTTTGAATCAACTGAGAGTTGTGAAGCTAAATGTCAGGAAAATATTTTTTTTTGTTCTTTTTATGCAAAATTTTAGCAACTTCCCTGAAAACTGGAAATTTAAGATTGACGGAATGACAAAAAATTTAATTTAAACGTTCTGATCAAGTTGACTTTTTAATTCGCATGGCAAGGAGGTATAAGCTTAACTTTTCGACGTATACACCCTTTCATTTTTTTCGAACACTCCCTTTAAAGTTTGTCCATTGGATATCAAGTTCTTACATTAGCTCAAAATTTGCAAGATCCAAACCAGTACAAGGATGCCGGTCTAGTCTTAACCGTATACCAACCCGTCTAGTGACCCAACGCGTGTTATGCGACAGAATAAGGCGGGCTGAACTATATGTATGACAAAAAGGAATTTGTATGAGCAAAGAACTGAAAAAATTTAGAATTAGCCCTACAAATTATAATTTTCATAACTATTCAAAGCTGAAACCTTTGTAATATGGATATCGAGATCAATGCTTGATCTCCCCTTTTTGTTAATCTGCAGATTAATTTATTCTTTATATGATATCCAGGAATTAGAGCTCGTTTGCTTAAAAGCCAATTTAAAAGCCTCGGAACCAAGCAGGGATATCACTAAGAGAGGATCAAACAGAAAATTAAAAGTGTCCACAATGGAAATCGAGATTAAGCGAACGGGATAAAGAAATTAAAACACAATAGTTTCCAGCTCAGATCGTTATGAGTGATCTAACAATATTTTTACGAACCTGGAAACAGTTTTGTGGATCAAGATTCAAGTCGAGGTTTTGTTTTATCTTCTTCTCGTTATTCTTGTAATTGCTGACAACATCGTCAGTGTTAATATTGTTGTTATGATCACTAAACCTTCGAGGCCAAAAACTGATCCCAGATTCTTCCTTTTCTAGTTCCATCTCAAGGTTTACAGGATTATCTGAAAATACAAGGATTTTAGTCACGTGGTCAATACAATATAAAAAATGAACTATTAACCCTATCTCTGCTGGGGTACTTGAAAACCAGGATATGCTGGGGGGGGTCAATTTGACCCCCCCCCTCTAAATCCCATGTTTGATGTCTAGATATGACAAATGATACATCATTGGAAAGCTCTTTTGCTCTTCTTTTGGAATCTGCAAAAAAATTTGCAAATTTGCAAAAATTGAATTTTTTATCGCAAAATCCAGTTATGCAGTAAAAATGTTTGCAAAAAAAAGTTGTCCAAAAAATGAAAAATTATACATTTTTGAAAAGCCCTTGACCATGCCATTTTAAATATGCAAAAATTTTTGCAAAATTTCAAATAACCTGATTTTTAATTAAGAAAAACTAAAAATGTGCAAATTTCCTTTGACAGGTTGTTTGCAAAAAAATTGCAATTTTTTTTCGCAAAACTTGTGCAATTCGTTTCCTTTTGTCAAAGGCTTCCAAAAAAGCTAAATTTTATCAAAATCTGATAAGTGGAAGTGGGTAAAACCAAGGATTTAGTTTGTTACAAGAAAAAGCAGTCATTCAGGCAGTGTGCCTGAGGACCCAGGCAGTTAGTATTAAAGCCCGGTTTTAGGCATAAACGGAGGGCTTTGGGTATAAGGGAAAAGTCAGAAAATTTCAACAGCCTCAGACCAATACTTTTTGAGTTATGTAAAAAAAACTACAGGAATAGGGTTAATACAGTACAGAGATTTAACTTTTGTGGAATCAATTTGTTATCCTTATTTTATCTAGTCATCCGGATTAAATTAATTCCTCTTGGATATCTCTTAGTGGTCATACGCTGCAGCTGTAGGGATAATTATGATTGAGCACTAAGATCTGATATACGCACGTACTTACGCAAATATCTATCAACATTTTTTAATTTTTTCCCTTTAAACTGAAGCTAGAAATAAGCTTGTGTTGTAGTTGCATTTATCCCTAAAATTTATAAGTTCTCAAAGTGAATATCAAGATCAAGCGTAGTAGATTACCGCTATGTCAAACAAAAGTTTTTACCTTCAGGATCTTTAATGAATAAGAGAAAATAAATGATTATTGATGGCAAGGAACCATATAGTAATACTCTATGCAAGGAACAAGAGTTTGCAGTGAAAAATCACGTTCAAAGCCAAAAGTTTATGTTTACTAACAAATACACTTTTCCAGAGGGCTAACCATTTTGGTAGTGCTTGTTTTAGCGACTCAACTCAATATCCACTGCACAAACTTTTAAATAGAATTTAACGCAATAAGCATATTATTTTTTATGTAATATGTAAACTGTAATATAAAACAGAAATATGGAGTTAACAAATACAGAAAACTTTGTTTTGCAGAATGCAGATATATTGTAGTTTTTAGAATACAGGAAACTATAGTTTTTGGAATACAGCAAACTATAGTTTAAAGAATACAGGAAACTGTAGTTTATAGAAAACAGGAAACTGTAGTTTATAGAATACAGGAAACTATAGTTTATAGAATACAGGAAACTATAGTTTATAGAATACAGGAAACTATAGTTTATAGAATACAGGAAACTATGCTTTATAGAATACAGGAATCTATAGTTTATAGAATACAGGAAACTATAGGTTATAGAACACATGAAACTACAGTTTACGGAATACAGGAAACTATAGTTTATAGAATAAAGGAAACTATAGTTTATAGAATACAGGAAACTATAGTTTATAGAAAACAGGAAACTATAGTTTATAGTATACAGGAAACTAAAGTTTATAGAATACAAGAAACTATAGGTTTTAGAATACAGGAAACTATAGTTTGTAGAAAACAGGAAACTATAGTGTGTAGAATACAGGAAACGTTTATGGAATACAGGAAACTATAGTTTATAGTATACAGGAAACTAAAGTTTATAGAATACAAGAAACTATAGGTTTTAGAATACAGGAAACTATAGCTTGTAGAAAACAGGAAACTATAGTGTATAGAATACAGGAAACTAAAGTTTATAGAATACAAGAAACTATAGTGTATAGAATACAGGAAACTAAAGTTTATAGAATACAAGAAACTATAGGTTTTAGAATACAGGAACTATAGCTTGTAGAAAACAGGAAACTATAGTGTATAGAATACAGGAAACTATAGCTTGTAGAAAACAGGAAACTATTGTGTATAGAATACAGCAAACTAAAGTTTATAGAATACAGGAAACTATAGGTTATAGAATACAGGAATCTATAGTTTATAGTTTATACAAAACAATATAAAGGTAATTCAGGAAACTACAGTCTTCATGCTAGGCCAGAAGAATACAGGAAGAAGTTTATCTCGCCTGGAAAACTTAATTTATCATTACACGGATATTCTTGGCTCGTAACATGATTTTTTCACCAAATTTATGATGAAAATCCGTAGAATTAGTCCACTGCCAAAAAGATAATGCAGAGGGGAAACTTTGATGTGACTATATTATTGTACAACACGCTTTCATTTTCTCATGTACAGATACCCCCCGTACTGTCTCTTTTAGAGGTATAAGTTTGCAGAAAGAGAGGAGTAAGGATACTGAAATGTAGTCACAGTATTCTTAACATGCAATCCCGCTATATCAGGGCCACAGTCAATCAATCAATCAATCAATATTTATGATATTCATCCTCATCCATTATCACAGAATCAGAATTAATAAAACAATAATATTTCTATATTTCCAAGATATGTCGTCAAGATAAAAGACAGGATTAGGATTGACTGGATTTAATAGATGAAGAGAATGATAAAATCTAATGAAGATACTTCAGAAATAACGTAAGTTTTAAGCAAGGATCAGGCGTCACAGTTCACATAGATCCAGAATGCTTTGAAAAGTTGCATCAAATATCAAGACTTGGTCGACCTTGATTTTACTCATTATTCTTTTTTGCAGCCTTAGACATGAGAAATTTAGAACTAAAAGGCATTTTTAGCTTTAGTTCTTGAGAAGTAATTGGCAAAATTCTCATAGATTTTTGTGCTAGAGATTGTAATCTTTGTATACATGTTCATAGAATAAAATATAATTAGCGAAAAGCCATTTCTTATTTCATAAGAACAACTTTTTGCTATTTATTTCTGTTCAATTTATCGTTACACTTAAAAACGAAAACAAAAAATAAGTTTTAAGTAAGTTAGAAGACAGAATAATAAATCATGATAAATTATAAAATAATAAGGATTATATAAATATATCTATAAAGAAGAGGAGATGTTTTGAATAGAAGAACAGAATAGATGCAGAAAAATCTGCAGTTTGATGCCGAGACCTTATAAATTATAAATCACCTATCATATTCCAGTTCATATAAATTATAAATCACAATATATTCAAGTTCTAATATAATCTACACAAGAAATTAGTTAGGCATCCATACCCAAATACCTAATTACCTGAATATCTAAGTTCACAAATACACCAAAATATTGTAAGTTCAGCAGTTAGCTATTAATCATAATCCTTAAATTTCCGTACTGCATTTCTCTGTTAACCGTACTGCATTGTTTTGTTTCGGACAGGACGAGAAGAGGAAGGGAGGGTGGGGGAAAAAATGGAGAAGGTAAGGAAGGGATACAATGAGGAGGGGGGGGGGGGGGAAAAGGGCGAAGGTAAGGAAGGGATACAAGGTGGAGGGAGAAAGAGATGGAATAAGAGAGAAAAATAGAGAAGGCAGAGAGAAGAGAAGAAAGCAGATTGCAGGAAAAATAAAAATGAAAGTAAGAAAAACGATAAAAGAGAAGAAGAGAGAAGAGGGGAAAGAGAAAGTGTAAGAAAACTGTACATGAAAGAAAACTGTACATGAAAGAAAACTGTGCATGAAAGAAAACTGTGCATACATGAAAGAAAACTGTACATGAAAGAAAACTGTACATACATGAAAGAAATCTGTACATGAAAGGAAACTGTACATGAAAGAAAACTCTACAGGAAAGAAAACTGTACATGAAAGAAAACTGTACATGAAAGAAAACTGTACATACATGAAAGAAAACTGTACATGAAAGAAAACTGTACATACATGAAAAAAACTGTACATGAAAGAAAACTATACATGAAAGAAAAGTGTACATGAAAGAAAACTGTACATGAAAGAAAACTGTACATGAAAGAAAACTGTACATGNTTTTTTTTTGCAAACATTTTTACTATAAAACTGGATTTTGCGATAACAAATTCAATTTTCGCAAATTTGCAAATTTTTTTGCAGATTCTAAAAGTAGAGCACAAGAGCTTTCTAATGATGTATCATTTGTCATATTTGGACATAAAACATGGGATTTAGAGGGGGGGTCAAATTGACCCCCCCCCCAGCGTATCCTGGTTTTCAAGTACCCCAGCGGGGATAGGGTTAAATGGGTTTCATTGGAACACTGTAGACTATAGACAGACTCTGGAAAATATCAAATATATATGAGACATAACTAGTACGAATTTGTGACCTCGTAGCTCCTCTAGTTTTGATTTAACGATTTTTTTAGAAAAGAATAGTTATCCGGTCACATTCTAGAAATGAATAACTTTTTGCTCTTCTCAATAGATTTTGAGCTATGATGAAAAACCTATAAGATTTTAATCTTACGTGCAATTTACTTTAGTTTGACGTGGCCAGGTTTCAGACAGATAAATGAAGGTAATATGGCATATAATTCCCTCCTCCCATCGGACTTTAAGGTTGAGGTTTTTACTCTAATGCCCCTGTTTATAAACCTTTGTTGTCAAATTGTAGAAATTGTTTAAAGAAAGTTGCGGCAATTGATTTTATGAAAATAATTGGTGTGATGTCTCCAACTACAAATAAATTTACTCTTTATACATAAATTATATACTTACTGGAAGTTCATATTAATTTATTTTGAAAACTCAACTTGTAGAGTGGTGTGTTCGATTCAGTACTATTTAAACTATTGACTGATAAAAGATGATGAAATTATCTAAATTTGTTTTTACAG